ATATATATATATATATATATATATATATATATATATATATATATATATATATATATATATATATATATATATATATATATATATATATATATATAATTAGATTCTAAGTGGTTTCTAACTCTAGAACATCAAAATAATGCATAAAATAACTCTTCATGCATAGGAAGCTATGAAATTTATTATTTTGTAACTAATAACTAAACCCTTTAATATATTCCTTGATCATGAAAAAAAAATGAATTAAATGTCCCTTTGAATCTGCCCACCAGTTGAAAAGTTAAGAGTTTGAACTTATTTTTATTTATATAAGCACTCCTTAATTTGGGCAATTCAATCCAGTTTGACCATTTGCAAGTTTAGAAAATAGGCTTACAACTCATTTGGCTTATAGGCTATAGAGTTTTGGATTAAACACATTTGAGAGGTCTGGATTAAAGATTATGGGACAAGCATTGTGAGTTGTAGAGACTGTTATAGGATCATCAAGATTTATACGAGCTGATAGTAAGAAATTAGGCACTCCTATGTCAAACTTCATTGGTTGAAAAAGATATGTCCTTAAGCCCTTATTTGTTCCATCAACATGAGAAGGACTTAAATTAGCCACATTGAATGTTGGGAACACTCTATAATTTTCAGGAAGCTCGATCTTATAAGCATTCTTGTCAATTCTCTTAAGTATCTTGAATGAACTATCAACTTTTAGTTTCAATTTTCTAAATTTGCCTACTAAAAACTTCTCATTTCTTAGATAAATCCAAACCAAATCACTCTCATTAAACTCTACATGCTTTTTGAGTTTGTTAGCCGTTGACATGTATCACTCATTTTTGCTTCTCAATGGTTGCTTGAATACTCTCACGTAACTTCTTTATCTGTTTAACTCTCTCATCAACATTTTCACTAAATTGTTTAGTTAAAAGTTGAATAAAGAACTAAGTCTAAAGGACAAGTAGGATTAGCACCATAAATAACCTCAATAAGACACTTATCAATGCTATGATACATGGAATGATTGTAGGCAATTGTTTTTCAACGGGGCCTTGGAAGTGTGGGGAAGGTTTTCGTTGCTTCTGGATGTAACGCCCAAGGTGCCCTCTATGAATGAGCTCCTCAATTTGATTCTTTAGGTCATGACACTCCTTAGTATCGTGGTCGTAGTCGCAGTGGAATTTGCAATACTTGGAGCGATCTCTGAGCTTACATGGAGTCTTCGATGAGTTGGGCGCCCTTAAAAGCCCCTTCTCTTTGATTTGTAGGAAGATCTCCATTCTGGACGAGCCTAGGGGGCAAGGAGGTGGCCTCGGTAGTGGCAGTTCGGGCCGATCGAGCTTCCTTCTTGGTGGACCCAAGGGCTGCCCTTGGGATTGCTCTGTATGAGGTCTCTTATGTTCTTTGCGTTTCCCTGCAACTAGGGCCTCAACGATAACGTACTGGTTTGCATGTTGGAGCATCTCAGGAATGATTGTCATTCGTCGTTCGACCAACGACTAGAAGAACCTGGTGTTAGGAACGAGTCGACACTAAACGGGGGGGGGGGGGGGTGAATTAGTATAGCAGATAAAATCACGTCGGTTCGAAAATCTTTTGTTTAATTAAAATCAATCTCGGAAAGATGTTAACTTAAAACACGTTCATAAGAGTGTGCAGCTAAAGTAATGAGAAAGTATGGCAATTTACAATTAAATTAAATAGCAAAATAAAAATACAAACCGAGTTTATAGTGGTTTAGTCATCGTGACCTACATCCACTCCCGATTCCTCCTCCATTGAAGCCACTAGCATCTACTATCGGTCTTCCTTCAATAGGCGAAGACCAACCACCTTTTTACAACTTTATTCTCCTTTTGCAGGCTCAGGAGAGAATCTTTACACCCACACTTACTCCTCTCTTAAACTATACTAACACTTAGAGCTTTTGAGAGGAGTTCTCACAAGATTACGTCGACCGATGGCCCAAAGCCTTCTATCGATACGTCGACCGATCCTTCAGCTCGACGTCCAATCTTCTGACATGTTTTTCTCCAGCCCAACATGATTCTTCATGCTTTAATTGTCTCTTCCGGATTGAAGCTTACTACGTCACTCAAAACACAGATCAAATCATAAACATTATCAATTGGTTTCATCATCAAAATCCGAGATTCAACAATCTCCCCCTTTTTGATGATGACAATCAATTGATGACGAAGTTAACCTTAACTCCCCCTATCAATATGGCATATGTGAGATGTAACTTGAATTCAAATTGAATTCAAGTTAAAGCAAATTTAATCATTAATAATTATAACATGTCATCATAAAATCATGCATAATCAAATCATTCAATACATCTTTCCATGCGTGATTGTCATTGTAACTTCTCCCCCTTTGTCATCAACAAAAAGGAGAAGTGCAACTAGCAAGTTTTTATATATAATTTTAAATCATTTCATAATAAACATAATCTCAAGTTTTATCATCATGCAAGTTAGCATGTTTTAGAGATGTGCAGAGTTTAACATGTTTGCTTTTCTTTGCAATGTTTAAGCTAGCAAGTTTTGGAAAAAGAATACAAGATAGCATTTTTGCCTCTTGTTGAAGTGTGTAAGCTAGCAATTCTTGCTTTCTTTGGTAATGTGCAAGTTGAAAGTTTTGCTTCTTGAGATAGGCAAAATAGCAATTCTTGGTGATGTTCAAGATAGCAAGTTCTATATCATGCATACTAGTGAATTTTACAACATTTGAAAGTTGGCAAAGTTTTGCGTCTTTTGAGATTAGCAAGCATTTTGCTTCTCTTTCTGATGTGCAAACTAGCAACTTTTCTCCCCCTTTGTCATTGTCAAAAAGAATGGAAGAATATAATTTTATAATTCTTTTCCCTTTACATAAATTTCTAAATCATGACAAAGATAAAGTATTATTCTTAATTGCAATATGGTATCAGAAAATGATAATTATTGACTTTCACATCATTTCATAAAAAATCATAGTATTGCATGTATCATTCCAAATCATAAGTATTTCAAATCATGATGGTATCAAAATGTCAAATTATATTACATCCTACTATGCATGATCATAACTTCTCATTTGTATGTATCAACATAATATTATGAGTATTTCATGCATAATTTCATATTATTATATGAAGAATATCAAGAAAAATTAGTTGGGTGATGAGATAAACACTTCATGAATGCAAGAAATTATACATAAAAATCATATCATGAAAGATAAAATATCAAAGATCACGAAGGATTAAGCCATGAATACTAAATGATATGATTTATCTTGACAAATCTCCCTTTTAGTAAATAATAAAAAAGAAATATGGAAGTTCAAAAATAAGATCTTGATTCATAGAAAAATTTCAAGTATCAATATCGAGAATTCAAGATCATGATATCGATAAAGATATTCCTATAGCAAAAGGTGTCATGAGAGAACACATAAAGGATCTCGATTCATGTATAATATCTCTCAATTCAATATGAATCATAAATATTATAGTTTTGAAAAATCATGATTCATTTGGATAGTAATAGTAAAACGAAACATCGAGGATAAAAGATCTCAATTCATATAGGGTAAATCTTAAGTTATAAATGTCGAGAAATCAAGATAAACATCATGGTTAGATGAAACTCATCCAAATTCAAATCAACAAATCATCAAAATTACTTTCAAGAGATTCAAAATGACATAAATACTTTATCAATCTCTTAGTGAAAAATCGATAAGATAAAAAAAAATTTCAAGAAAAATAATTTTCTCTTTTTAGTTGTTTCAATTCATGTGATTTATTTCATAGAAGCATGTCCTTTTCATTTATGCCAAATAAAAATATGCATCAACGTTTAAAACCGAAAAAGAACTTTAAATACAGTAAAGATCGATAATCCATAAATCACAAAAATCATCATACATAATTTCGAAAGATAAACTCATTAAGCATGATATCAAACCTCTTAGCATTTTCATTAAAATATCAAGCATGATTTCATTGAACGTAAGACATCTTCA